AAAAGGAGCAGCAAATATATAGAGTAGCCACTCAACTTTCTACCTAATTATTGTATTGTACAGTAGGTCAACTCTAGCAGAGAAACATAGGCAACCGTTGCTTATCTTTCCATATAAGCTTCCCCTATTCACTCATGATATACATTTCATTGTTCATCATTTTTACATTCAATCCCATTAAATTCTACAAAAAGTTACATAATCCACTTAAAAACTGAAAATGTTAAACAATGTTTTCGTTACTTTTCCTTAGATTTGTCTCTTCTTCATGGCTTGTTTATTGTTATGTAACCAAACTTTGAACACCTCTCTCTTTACACCCATTTCATTGCAGAACTCCTGCACTTCTTGTTCATCTTGTTTCTGAATCCTCCACCCGAGTTTTGCAGCCAATTCATGCATTTTATCCTTTTGTTTTTGGCTGAATTTTGTTCGAAACGGCTTTTTCGATCTCGAAAATGATGGCTGCGCCGTTGCATGCCTGGCGGCGTGTGGGAGTATTTGTGATGGTGCGCCAGCATTATGAGAGGAGATTGGCTTTGGAGAACTGGAGTCCGGAGGCCATTGGTGTTGCCTTGGACCTCTTTCTAGTGGAAACTACGGTGGCAATCACAAGCAGCACATGTCAAGAATTCTGGGGTTCCCTCATCTCCACTTGGCATGAATTCTCCACAGCCATCCACCACATGACCTCCTATCTTTGCAGCATGATTTTTCAGGCATTCTCTATTCCTAATTACAGTGTAACCTATTGATTCTTGACCTTGCGGCGGGGGTGACTTTGAATTAGATGCGCCAGCGCCACCAGTTACTGCAGCAGGAGAAGTAGCTGGATCTGGATCTGGATCTGGAACTGAAGCTAGAGCTGGAGCTGGAGTTGAGTCTTTCTTTACAAGTGGTTGAGATGGAGGAGGAGGAAGAGGACGATGGTGATCTAGGGTTTGTGTAGGGCTGAAAATAGCACTTCTGCGGCGGGTTGAAACAGTTGCATTTCCTCTTCTATCTGGTCGAGTGGAAACTATAGGAGCACGAGGCAGCTTGACTGGTGATTCTTGATTTAGTTGTGAAGGATTATAACCCAAGAAATTTTGGATCCCTATATGCCTTTCTTGACCCCTTTTTTCCATAATTAAAAATCTATAGACTCACTTTAATCAAGATAATCATCCTCTTAATCCTTCTTCCTAAACCATCATCATCAAAATCTTTGATCTAATTTATTGTTTAGCTCCCGTTCTTTCCTTCTCTCAAAGTATCTGCTCTAATTTCAAAACAATCTTGATAATTAATCAACAAAGTAAGTGAGGCCTTATTTTTCTTTTGACTAGGACTTTTTGAGTGATAAGGAGGTATTGACTTAACTAAAACAATTAATTAGCGGACTCCACCCTAACGTGAGAGATTGTAATATTTACAATCACCTAATGATTGTACAAATGGATTTTTCCTTCTTACACAGGGAAGGAAGAGAGAGGGGGTGGGGGTGCTTTACAAATTGTTTAACTTCAAGAAGTTTAGACAATCTTTAATCCAAAACTGGACAAAATACTTGGAAGGAATCGGACCCTTGAGAAGCAAAAATAGTAAAAATATACCTAATGTTGGCAGAGTCTGATGATTTACAGGAAACGATGTGAAGACAGAGAAAATGCAGCTACTTTTAGTACTGATTCATGGATAATGGGGTCTTAATTTGACAACATTAAAAACAAGAAAGGTGAAGTTTGTGCGTCTCCCAATAGCCATTCAAGATTCTTCATTCTTATAACCATTGCAAAATTCAGTCATCCAAGAAAAGAAAAGCAAATGGGTATGGTACACACAACCGACAGGGCTATGTTGCTTCTTTTACATAGCGTCAAGCTGATGAAGTGCATAAGGAGTTAGAATTTATGATGAAATGGGATTGCAAGGCAAAATAATGATTTCATGATAACTTTGGGTTTGTCCGTTTTTAGCGAATTAATAGTCTAATTTGAGTG